AGCCAGGTGCCGAGGGCTGAGCTCTCCTTACCGAGCGATGACTCTGAAGCAGATGATGACCTGTTGACGCTGAAGGCCATGTCCGAGTCGCTGTCGTACTGCGAGCCACCGGGGGATCCTGAGGGAGAGACGGTCACTGGGCTGGACTGCACAGTGCCTGCAAACACAGGAGAGAGCTGAGCCTGTCGCGGGGCCGAGGGACAAACCCCACCTACGTGCCCCTCAGGCCGGTGAGTCACTCCCACCCCACGTGCTTTAGGGTAAAGTCCAGCTCCTGAGTTAAGTGCTGCCCCTTAGTAATGATATAGGTGCGTGATTTTGGATGTGACCTCCAGGGCCTGGACCTCGCTATGCCATTGTACAATTTCTGTTCAGCACTTCAGCGAGGCAAGCACCAGGTTATCCAGCAGCCATCACTTGGGGTGTAAAGTCACTCCTCTGCGGTCCCAATCTCTCCAGCAGCAGCAGCCTCAAGCTATCGCCATCTCACTGTCAGATCAGGGACAGCTGGGAAAGGGCATTGCTTTAAATGAGAAAAACCTGCTTTACAAAGTCATCAACATCTGCTTTTCTGACAGAATCCTTAACAAGAGGAAGGGAGGCAACTGCAGCTGGTCACCAGCAATGGATCAGGAGTGACCTCTGATACCCGAGCTGCGGCAGTGCTTGGGGAGCGATTACTGTCCCTCAGCAACACACGGGGTTAAACCAGAGCTGCGCTCATAAAAGTCACCGCCCTTACCAAGGCTGGAGTTTAGTACCTGTTGGCTGGAATAGTGGGTTTACAAAGAATCCCATTTGAAAACAAACCCTCTGAAAACCATCTGCCCCCCTGCCCCAGCCATTCCTGCCTCCCTACCTGCTGCTTATTTTACTTTTCAAGTCTCATCCCTTTCGGGGGGACTTATATAGGCTGCATGCATCTACGTGACAGCCACCACGTCACGCTCACTCTTGTTTGCAAACACAAGGTGAGACCAGGAGCTGCTTCCTCACATCGGTGGCCACCTGCTAAAGGCAACGCTGCGACTGCAAACCCATAGCTCCCGCTCTGGCCCAGGGAACATCACCAGCCAGGCGCTCCCCGTTATCATTTCTTTTGGCTGTACTTACCCAGTATTTTGAGCTGGTTGATTACACCGTGGATTGTAAAAAACACCCAGAGAGACTGTGAGGTGTCCACGCACATTAGCATTCCTCGGCTGGCTCCATTCACCCCGTGGTGCACCTCTCCATTCGGCAAGACCATGAAACTGAGAATGTCGCCGCTGTTGAGGACTGGGAATGCTCGGTAAACCACCCAGTACTCCTTGCGGTCCAAGAGAAAGTCTGGATCTGCTGGGAGCTCATTTGTCCGTAAAGTACTCGGATCACAAGAAGTGATGCCAAACGAAAGGGCCCCGTAGTATGGCAACCCAAGATGTCCTACTTCCACAAAGAGGCTCTCACCAATGTGCAAAGGCCGGTCCGAAAACACCAAAGTCCTATTACTTTCTTGCCAGTTGGTGCATGCAACCATCCGGTCCTGAGAAAAGGTGATGTCAGGTCCACGGGTGGGGTGGAATCGCAGGTCTGTGTCCAGGAAGGCTGGGACCCCCTGGGCACGCTGCCGTCGGTTTGGGCAACAGGGGATGATGTGGTTGTCTGTCGCAAGTCCTGGAACCCGGCTTAGGTTTAGGTTTGCAATTTTGGCCACCACTTGGTTATTCTCCAGTTCGTTGTTATTGAAGTTGGCTGAATCATGGTTGCTCTGTGGAAGGCAAGTGCTGAGACGGGCAGTGCTGAGACGGGCAGTGCTCATGGTCTCTGCAAACATGCTATCTGTGAGATAAACCCAGTGATAAGGGACATTAGAGTCAAGACACAATTGCCTACTTTTACGGTTACAATTGTTATTATTCCAGCCTACAGATTATCTGAATTCTGTTCCTCTGAATGGAAAAACAATGGAAAAATTAGCCAGAGGTCACCCACTAATGAAAGGCTAGCAGTGGAGAGTCTCATGGGGAGCGAGCAGAAAAATGGCTGTATCTTGGTAGTAGCTGCAGTAAAAACAAGTGTTATGAAGTACCCATGTAAACTGGGAGCTCCTTGCACTGATGAACTGGGAAAAGCTGTTAACCAGTGTGCTCCTACAGCTTTCTCCATAGAGGGGACTAACAGCTTTGAGGGTGCTCCATAATAGAAGGAAACATCTCAATATCTTGTTGTCCAAAGGTCTTATGCAAGCCAAATCTGCAGCACAGGGATGGGCAAAGGAGCACAAGCATGAACAGATTCTCCTTTCACACCCCTTGTCCTTGCCTTACAGCTGTGAGGTGCCTAGGCACAGGCATGTCCAAGAGAGGTCGTTTTACAAGATTTCAAGCCTCGTATCTCAGGGGTGTTCACACCACTTGCAGAGATTTTGAATTGAGAGCTTGTCACAAAAGCTACTTGCTGCAGGTGTTACAAAGAAGATTTTTGCAGTCAGAGAGTTATTTTCCCCTTTCACAGCAAAAGGAAAGTCAGGATGCTGACTCTTAATTAAATTTCCTAGCTTTTCACCTTGGCCATGCCAGGCTGGGGGGGATTTAAAGGTGTGAGGAGGGTCTACCTCCAGCATTGCCCATGGCAGCTTGGACACTTCACTCTCAAGGTAAGGCATTAACTAGCTGAGCAAAGTCAAAGCAGATCGAAGTTAAGAGTGTGTGTGCATGAAGCAGACTCCTCGTCTTCCCAAACATGGAGAGGGAGAAGCATCCCAGCACCAACACTGCCTGCTCCTTGGAGGAGAAAATCAGCAGGCTTTACCAAAGAAGGTGAAACACCCAAATCCATCTGGCAGCTGCAAAGCAGAGGCTGCCTTTGCTCAGAAGCCCATGCAGGAGGGGCCACCGGTGTAGGCTGATGGCTGGACCAAGCTGCTTCTAGCAAGCATGGGGTATCTGGCAAGAAATGCTCCCACAGAGGAGTAAGACACATCCAAGCTTCATGATGCTGAAAGATGCATTTTATGCATCTGTATCTGGGCTACATTTCACAGCTTCCTTGACTTGCAAAATTTTAGGAGGAGGAGACAGAAAGACAAATATGTCCACTGTGACACCACCACACCTGTAGCAAAGAGGCTGTGTCCCCTGGTGCCCCAGATGGTTGAGCATCGCTCTGATTCCTGAGGTACCTTGTGGGGCTTGGTACTTCAATCCAAAAAACCCATCAGAGTACAGATGCCCTCAGGCCAAGTCTTTCACTCTGCAGACTTGGATGCTGCAGGCAGGACAGGAGGGTGGGGGGCAAAAATAAGCTGCATTTTATTTTTCTAACTATAATCTAGCAAGGAAGAAGGAGTGCTCTGGTGAAGCAGCTGCACTGGCCAATGCAGCAAATGCTCCTTCACCTCTGCGATGAGCACCAGAGGCTGGAGTGCATCGCAATTGCAATTACAGGATAAGCTACTGGTAAGGTTTAATTACACATTTGAGGCAGAGCAGGCAGGGCAAAGCGTTGTTTATATGTTTATATGTAGCCTTCTCAGCTGTCAGATAATTGGTACCATTCAGAAGAGGATGTGACGGAGCTGCCTGCCCACTGGACTGACCATGTCCCAGCTTATCGCTGGTGTCTGTTTGGTGTGAGGATGGAGGCACCATCCCCTCGAGCAGGTGCAGCCTAGCTTGGCTGTTAAAAATCAGCTCCTAGGAGCCTCCAGGAAAGGGCAACACTCTTGTATTTTAAAAGGACTCCCTGTGGTGTAGCCCAGTTCAAAGCACTCCATCTGACACTGAATTCACTTGAAATTGCAATGCCGTAAAAGTGACGAAAGGGAAGTCATTCCATGGCAATCGGCTCAGTTTGCTAATGGGAACAGATTCATCCCCTCTTGCAGCCCTCCCCAAGGATGATGCTTGTACATCAGCCAGGCACCACCTGAATGCAGCGATCTGTTGGGGGTGGGGGAAGATGGGGCGTGCGGTGGCAAGGATCCCAAAGCACACAGGACCTCACACATTTTCTCATTGCTCTTCAGCTGGCGGGCTGCCTCCTGTGCCGCAGCTGGTGCTCTGCAGGCATGCAGTGATGCCCACGTACAAGGGAAGGGTTACATCTGCAAACACAGCTTGTTAAAACTGCCAGTCTAGGTGGGGACCAAGGCCAAGAGTTGAGAGAGGGGCTGAGGAAGGTGCCGGGAAACTCTTGGGGAATGGGTCTTAGTTTTTCAGTGAGCTGGCAGTAACTGGTAGCTGAGAAGGAAGAGGAGAAGCCAGAGCTGGTTGCCTTTGTCTGCTCAGTCCCAACCTCACACCACGTGTTTCCACATCTATCTCAGAAAAAACTAGGTAAAGTTACTTGTAAAAATTTCCATCTAGCCCAGCCTTGGGACTTTCCCTCACTGACATCTCTGAAATGTATTGTGTTCTGGATTCCCACTGCTAGCAAAAGAAAAATGGTTAATTTGAAGCACAAAACCAACAGTAAATTGTTTTTCTTAAGTGTCCCACAGAAATTATTAACCAGATAGATCATGCATCTTTTCTCCATGATCATGCCTTTGTGGAAAGAGCAACCAGAAAAGCAAGCCATGGGCCAAAATACACACTTACCTAGTATCTGTACTTCATGGGTAATTCCATAGACGTCTATGAGTGCCCAGAGAGGACCGGAAACTTTAATACCACAGTGAAACAATATTGGCTCCTCGTCATTAATACTGTAGAAGACTCTCCCATGACGGTCAACCCAGAAGGCCAAGATATTGTCTCTCACAGCAAACCTCTCTGGCAAAGCTTTGGCCCAGTATCCGGGTCGGGTCACTAGGTCCGGACAGGCGTACTTTGGTATCTCGTCAGAGCTCATCTGCGATGGGTCGTGAATGGTGAAGCCGAAGCGTAGGGCTCCGCTCCAGCCGTGGTGCACAGCCACCAGCTTCAGCCTGACTTTCTCGTAGAGGTGGATGGGCCGGTTGGTGAAGGTGACCCCGTTGCAGAAACTGTTCCTCCGCGTGGCCTTGCGGGAGTGAGCGTCCAGACGCACGTTCTTGCCTTTGGCTTGGGAGTGGAAACGCGGCGGCTCCGTGATGGCGAGGACCGAGCGTCTCTCATGGCTGCTGTTGGGCAGACTGTAATAGGGACGGCTGGAGACAGAGCGGGTCTGGTGGCTTGTGTCTGCAAAAGGAGAAACCAGCGGCTCCATCAGCAGTGCCTGACCTGAGCCATGCATTGGCTCAGCCCAGGCAACTGGCTTGCCACGTGTGCTTTGCATTAGTTGCTGGCAACTGCACTATTTAAATCTTAAAATGCTGTGCTTGGCCACAATCTGCTCTTTGTTGCACCAGTTTGGCCCTCAGCTTTATACAAATATAAGGCAAACGTGGCTCTTGGAGCAAAGGTTAGGCAGCTTTCCTTCTACGCCCTGCAAAGCCGGATGAAAACAAACATCCTTTTGTTCCCGTCAGATGCGTCCTATTGCACTCGGAAAGGCCCAACACTTGTGACCGTGGCTCCGAGTTTCCTATTTACACGGCATGTGCTGTTAAATCACCAGCTGGTGGCCAGAGTCCTACCAGCTCTGAGAATTGTAGCTGTTAGGATCAGAGGTGCTCAAGATGAATGCGGATGTAGGACACTGATTTTTTGGAGGACATGCAGCCATTGGTTTCTCTGTCCCTTAATTTTGTAAAGACAAACAGGAGCTTTTGAACAACACAAATAAACCAAGACATTTAGCAGCTGGAGCGCTACCTCTGCATCACCAGACTGTTCTTCCAAAACTTTCAACCCAGCCCCTGGTTCAGATATCAGATGCAACTGGCACATTAAGGAACATTTCATCCCGCAAAGCCTCGCCTTTACACAGAACCTCCCATTTGAGCTCAAAGCACTTTATAAATGATGATTGTTTTCAGCTTCACAGCACCACAGATGGCACAGAAATTCTGCCATCCTCGTTCTACAGATGGGAGAAGGAGAATTTATGGGTGAGATCTTGCAGCATTTAAAGTCAACAGCAATTTCGAGACCAATTTCAAGAAAAGCAGATTTGAGGCCTAAAGTGAAGTTCACACAACCATGAAGCAGAAATTAAAAAAGCCTAACTTTTAATCTTAAACCTTAGCTGCAAGTTCCCCAAGGCAGGGACAATCTCTTTTGCATAGCCCTGAACACGAGGGGCCCTGCTCTGGGCTCAGGGGTCCCATGATCACCACCACCACGATGACTTTGTTCTCCCCATTTCCCAGCCATCCCACTTTTCCCCCTCTTTCCACCTGGCTTTGTAGCTTTTTAAAGCAAAAATGGAAGGCGTCCTGGGTGCTCAAAGTCATCCTGTTAAATATAAAACTGCATCACATGCACACATTTATTTTGAAATATTTTGCTACATTTGAAGCTTCAGAAGCTGCCTGCCTGGCCCTTCCTTCAGGCTGTTTCCTCCCTGTGTATAACCCCTGGCTTTGCTTCGTGACAAGGGAAGGATTTTCTGACACTTTTCTCTCTTGGAGAGAAACACCAGAAGACACCGGGAGCTCAGCTGGGAAAGCTGGCAGGAGAGCTGCAGCTGTGGCACCTTTTTTTGCAAGCAAAACCATAGCAGGTAGGGCAGCGAGAGGCTGGGACTTGCGCTGTCTGAACCAGGAGAGGCTGTAAGCAACTGCTGCCTTCGCAAACGTGAGGGAAGGGGGGGGCCGCAGGCAAGATCTGAGGACAGGATTAGCCCTTGAAATCGGGCATTTGCAACAGGAGTCAAAGAGCTACAAAGGCAAAAAGCTCCTTTTTGCATCAAGGAGAAAAAGGTCAGTCCTAAATTATGACAGGCAAACGCAGTGGCTAAATAAAAGGTCTTTTGTAGCTCTTCACTCGCACCGCACGTGACCATCACTGCATAGCACAACGGTTAATCCTGTCGTGCACTAACGTAAAGAAATACATCTGTACCCTTACACCACTGGGGGGTTTGCCACTTCCATGCCAGGGCCATGAAGGCAGAGTCCTGGGGAAAATGGGGAGGAGAGAAGCACCCCCGGGTATTAAATCCCCTCGGGATGGTCCCCCTGCCCGGCACAGCACCCCCCCCATTGCAGCAGTGCCACAGGCCAGGCTCCCCCCCAGGCTCTCCCAGTGCCAGAGGGGGTTACCTGGGTCTGCGGGGTCAGCCCTGGCCATGCTCGCAAGAGGTATGGGTATTGCTCTTGGGTATTCCCAGGAGAAATCTCCTTTCTTGCCTCCCAAAGAGCTAAAATGCCAAAGACGGCTGCTCTCAGCACAGACCCACCCACAGCTCAGGTAGGTGCTGCTCCATGTATCTGCCTGCAAATGTTCCTGACAAATGATGCTGCTGCGTAGGAAACACAGTTTGGGGTTTCCTTAGCAGGGAGAGGCACGGTGGCATGAACCAGCCAGCCCCTAGCGCTGGGTGAGTGACCCCGAGCAGCGAGGGGTGAATCCTCTCCTGGCCATGCTTTCCCACACCGGCTCCCCGTGTTTCATCTGGATTCACAGAGCCTTTGCACTGGTCAGCTGGGATGGGGGCTAAGCAAAGCCACCGATGGGTGCCACCAGGAAAGGGGATCCTGCGGGAGCCAGTGGGCTCAGTGCTGCTCCTTCACATCACACCCTGCCTTGCTGGGCGACAGCCTCCCCATGTACAGAAATCCTTGTTTTTTAATCCACTGAGCTGCATTTTTTTCTAAAATGGTTAAAAATAACTCCCCTGAGCAAGCGAGTGCCCTGTCCTCAGTGTCCCTGTGTCGGACAGGAGGAGGAAAGAGGGACGAGAGCTTTTGTTCCCCCGTCCTCCCTGCTCACACAAGAATCCCCTGCCTTCCGCCCCCTGGGCAGCACTGGGCTCCCTCCCGCACCGACCTGCCGGGGCAAAGCCACGCGTCAAGACGAGCGGGCAGGAGGCGATGCCCTCCGGCATGGCTCCCGGGCAGGTGCTGCTCCCGCCGCTTTCGGAAAGCACGGAGGACCAAGGCGGGAGCGACAGCGACGGCAGCACGACGGACGGAAGAGCAATGACACGGGCACCCACTTCAAACGCAGCTCTGGGTCCACCCTGCCAGAGAGGAACTCAGGGCCAGGGTTTGGCTTTTTTCTGTTTTGTTTTTTTTTAAAAAACAGGAAAGCATATTGTGGCTAAACAATAGGGAAGTCTCCAGACGGAAATGAACGGATAATTTACTTATAATGCCGTTCCCCCCTCGCATGAACACCTGCTGGTTGCCACCAGGAATAAAGCCTGACATAACCCAAGGCAGGGGAGGCAGAGCTTTCCCACTGAGAGCCGCCTGAAGCTGGGCTTGGGCATGTGCTTTACTCATTACGTACTGCAGGGGACTAGGGGAGCTCAACAGGATGTTTGTGCCTTTGCATCGCCCTGATTTGCAGCTCGGCTGCCATAGTTTGGGTCACATTTCAGTCCCTCTGCTTTTCCTCCAGACCCTCTCCTCTTCTCTCTGTGCTTTCCCACCCAAAAGCCCGTCCGTGGGATAATCACAGCCAAGCTCGTGGCAGAAATGCCGCCCTACCCAAGGGTGCCTGATGCCGTGACAGGCAGCTAAGTGCTACGCCAGCTCTTTTTTTCAGCTGTGAGATTCCTACAACGCTTTGAGCAAGTAATTCCTTCTCTTTACGCCTCACTTCCCTGTCTAACAGCGAGTAATAGTATTCCTCCACCTCGCAGGAAGCTAAAAGGATTAAAAGATGTAAGGTTCTCAAATACCGCAATCCCCGAGCCCTGTAAGCGTGTCAGCAGGCTGGCTAGATCATTGAATGGGACACGAACCCACTGGGTCTCCCTGGGTGATGTTTTGAGGTCCCATCCGGCATTTTGCTTCTTTTCATTCTGGAGTTTTCCATTTTTCATCCCTACTTTCACCAACTGCAAACATGATGCTCACAGCATAAGTCCCTCAAATGCACGGGCGGGGCTTCAGCAAATATGGACAAAGCCAGGAAAATGGCAGAAAAAGCTGAACTGAAGGATTCAGAATGGTGTAAGGCTTCTCACTGAAACCTCCAAAAGAAACCCTGGCTGGAAGGCAGCATTTCCATGCACATGGGCTGCACTGAAATAGATTTGGGTTGCGGGGACCCATGCTCTCAACTGCAAGGAGCTATCGCACATCTGAAACTTCACCTTCTTTCCAAAAGGCCAGCACATTTATTTCTTAGATTATGCTGACCTTTGGAGAGGTATTTTAACAAACATGCACTTTGCATTTCAAAAAGGTACAGCAGGCAGACCGTGGACAAATTCCACATATTTATCATGGTTCCAGTTCTAAAAATAAACATTTTTTTTTTCACCCATTTGTTCACAGCATCGGGTTTGCTGTGGCACTGTAATCCCACTGACAGCAGCAGACAAAATTCAGAACAAGAGCTCTCTCCAAGGCTGCTGCTCTCCAGGGCACAGGATGGAGGAGGCTGCTTTGTCGGGGAGTTGCCGTTAAGCCAGACTGATCCTGTCTTCGCTTGCCCCGACAAGCCAGGCAGGAATGATAGCACAGAAAGCCCTAAAATGGGGGAGATGAGAAGAACGTTCAAGGAGATCGGAGCTACAGCAGAGAGCTACGAGGAGGGCAGCCGGGCAGTTGGAGGAGGAGGAGGAGGGCACTGCCTTCCTGATGCGCCACAGGTAAATTCACTGTCTGTGTTAACTCTACAACCACTGCATCAAAAGACGTTCCCTGGCTCCCGCATCCCTTTCCTGAGGACCCCCCCTCCAAGTGAATCCATGACAAAAGCCACGCAGGATCACAAGGCAAGCAGCCAGGGCAGCCAGGTGCCAGACAGGGATGCATACTGGATAAAGCAAGGATGTCACAGGGACAGAAATTACTGGGACAGCTACACCGTGGACGAGGAGCTGACAGGAGACACAGCTCCGCAGCATGCAGCTGGAGTGTGGTCCCCCCGCGTTGTTCAGAGGAAAGGCTGAAAGGTAGCAGCGTGTGGCCTGAAATCCACCCCCTAACGCCCACCGCACAGACGTGCCCGCATCTGATCTTTATGGCCACTGCCTTATCAGTAACACTAGAACTTTTCCCTATTATAGTAGATAGTTGGGTCGCTGCTGCTGCTGCAACAACCCTGTTGAACATTAAACGCGGTGTCTGGAGGTGGCTTTTGCTTCAAAACAGGAAAATCCCAACAGGTGGGGACAAACGCAGTCACGTTTATCGCCTGACGGCAAGCGTGTCGGAACAGACCTCGCGGGCTGAAAGTCAACCACAGCACGGTCCAGTAAAAGCACGGTCCTCG